GGTTAGATTGATTTAATTGCAATCTGCCATGCAGTTCTGATGATTTGTGGTATAAAAATGTGATAATTATTTTAAAAATCTCCAAGCTGCTATTCCAAAAATTGTAATATTTAGCATATGCTTGAAGTAAACTAGCATATTATGGAAAGAGAAGGGATAATATCAGTTTTAGTGGGAATCCCTTTAAGAGAAACTAACCAACAGAGTTAGTCATTTCCTTCCATATGCTTTTCTTTGAGAAAAAAAAATCAAGATATGTGCCACATATTCTATATGTAATAGATAGTTTGTCTCTTCATTTTCAAACATTTTTATCAGTCATTCTGAATGTCATGTGCCAATCATTAAAGTAACCACTAGATGGTAGTGATTCAACATTAATGTTTGCTTTGTTATTTCTTGCCTGTTCTGTAGGTTTTATGCATGAAGCAAAAATATGTGGCAGGAATTTTAAAGAAACCAGATGATAAGCATGGGGGAGGGTGTCAACAACTCACAACTCATTGTAATCTCAAGTAAAGTGCACAATAAGATTAGTCAATAGGCTCTTGGACATGAGGTATAAGAGAAGAGCAATACTGAGAAATCCTTAAGAACATGATGATGTCTAACTGCACATTGTAGCAACTGTTGTTCATGCATGGCTGGGAAACCATCTAGGAGCTCAAAACATGCTGCCTTAAGTTATATAATAGAGGAAGGCAATATCAGTGGGATATCTTAGTTTTGCTTCAGAAGGCCACAAACCAGAGGATGCTCAGATTCTCAAAGCAACTTAGCTAGGATTAGTTTTGAGAGGAAATACATTTATAAAACAAACAAAAATGAAACTTTACCCTAGACACCTTCACACAGACTTCCTCATGTATAGATATTATTTATCAATATATTAATTTTTACAGAACACCAAACCATGCAGTTCAAATACCTGCACTGATTTGTCAAAGTGATGATAAAAATTTTAAGTCTATGAAATTTAGATATGTAGAAAGTAATCAAAATGCCACCACATATATGTTGTTCTACTAAAAGCATTATCTTGTTAAGAAGCAAAACCTCCAAAAAAAGTCATTTTACAACAAAGATAAGACTCTTTATGTCTTGGAAGTAAATTAATTGAAAACAAACTCCTATTAAAAAATAGCTTCTATATTGTACTGTCACCTGAAAATCCTTACTCAATGAAAGGCAATTCAAGGGCTCCAAGCAGCATAGACCCCACCAGTACCTCACAATTTACTCCGTGTAGCTTCTTATTTTTCTGAAAGTGTGTGCCCAGTAGTCACAGCAACCATAGTCTTTAGTTCCATACTTGGTGGGCTTTTCAGAAAAAAATTCAAATACAAGTACATCAGGAAGTGACTAGACAGTAGGGACAATTTTCAGCTCCTTGAAATTATGTGATGTGACACTTGTGCATGCAAATACTTGTACCTATGACTAGGTAACTGATTACATGGAGCTCTCTGTGTTCATAGGCTCATCCCATGACACTTACCTTGTATGCCACAAGCAGCCCACATCTGAAATTCCACAGATTACCTAAATCAACTTTATTTACAACTACACAGTTGTCACACTGAATAGAACAGATATTTTTTATCTGTATTGAAAACAGAAAAATACAAATAAATAAAGCATTTAAAAGTTGAAATGTTCTTGTCAATAACATTGAATCACAGGAATTATTTCAGATTTTACACAGGGACACAGAGGAACAGAAGTCAAACTCTGAGCTTACTGCTGTTCTCATGTAATGCTCCTCTCCGGCGCAAAAAGCCTTTGCTTCATCTTCCTTTTTGGCTCCTCTTAGCCTATTCCACCTTTGGTCATCAGTATATAAAGTTCTACTCTTATAATAATAGTTAAGAGAAGAGTTCCTATTTTCTAGTACTTCTTTCTCCTCACTCCCAAGTACCATTCTGAACTGGTTTTTTTCCATGAGAATATATTTTTGGTTTCCATGAGCAAAAATGCTGCTGATGGAAAGGAGGTGGAGAAAAAGCAGCTTAAGGAACTGGGTTCTGATCTACATATGCATACAGTGTCAAGCAAGTGAGAAAAGCAGAGGACCCTACTATTTTCCTGTGGTTCTGTTCTATGAGCGTTTGCAGTTGGAGTTTCTGGTGTTTCTTCCCTCCCATGCTTTCTTGGAACAAACAGCTACATGATTCTGGCAAAAAGCCGAATTGATCTTAAGTTATATAATAGACTAGAGCAGTGTTTCTCAACCTTGGCGACTTTAAGTCCCGTGGACTTCAACTCCCAGAATTCCCCAGCCACAGGACTTAAGAGTCGCCAAGGTTGAGAAACACTGGATTGAAGAAGGCAATATCAGTGAGATATCTTAGTTTTGCTCCAGAAGGCCACAAAACGGGGGATATTCAGATCCTCAAAGCAACTTAGCTAGGATTAGTGTCTAGTATACCTTTTGTACCTTTGGATTCTTTTTTTTTTTAAGTCTTTCAAAAATATGTTAAGATATTTACAGGGGGTATTGATAATTAGGGGATTAATGTTATTTTTAAGGGGGGAAACAGGCCATAGTTTCAAGTTAAAACAATCTTTCCTTGTCTCTTAATTATTATGGTTGCAGGCTTACAAGCTGGCATTTTTTCTTCAACATAGATATTTACAGTGTTTGCTTTGGTGTGATATCATTAGGAGTATAATAAGCTAAACATAAGGAACTGAATTGCACCGCACCTATTAGACAAGTGGTTTTATGAAAATATTGAAGAAATATTTTGGGGTCAGTGAATAATAAGTTGTTAACAATTGATATTTCAACTGTTTACAGGGAGAGAACAAAAGTAATTAAACCAAGGTTTCTTTATCTTGATGTCAAACAAACAAACAGAAACTTGCATAGTAAGTTAATAGATAGCGTTAGGGCTGTAAACTAGACTATTTTTTTTAATCTAGAAAGATGGCAGTGGAAAACCACTTCCACACTGTAACCAAAATAATCTGTATGCATTGTCCATGAAGACACCAGAAGACAACATGAATTCAAAAGGGACTTGACTTACACATGCACAATTTTGAATTAAGGGTTAAAATTACTCTTTGTGCTACATAAAAAAAATGATAGCTTTAGCTGTTTGGACTTTAGGTGTAAAAAAAACCCACACATCTCACCTACATGCTCCATTCATTCATTCATGTTCATGATATGAAGAAATAGGAATTTGAATGAATGAGAATGCACTAACAAAAAAAGTTTATTAGACTTTTTTGAACTGCTTAGTTTTATAAGCATTACTTTTGTACTTAGAAAATGGGTAGAGGAACAACTTAGTGCATAATTTATAGAAATATCAAAGGACATGATGAGAAAGACTGCAGAGAAATTGTTAGTGTGCAAAAATGCATTTTTAATTTTGATATTCAGGCTGTGCTTGTGCATTTTTTAAAAAAAATATTGTAATATGTAAAGTGAAGACCATTATTTTGACCTAATTCTGGGAGGTCTCTCTCATATATTCATAAATTAATCATATCCATGACCATTACAAGAATCAGAAGACTACTTCAATCTTCCATTAGACTTGATGGAGAAAGAAATCAATACAATTCAAACAAATGGAGACTGAAATAAATTGGACTGAAAATGTGAAATCCAGCGGACTATAATATCTTTCTTGCACATTTTCCCTAGCTTTTGTCTGCAATATTGTTTCATAGCCAAAACTCTATGTAAAGTATGGGGAGTGTGTAAAAGATGAAACTTGCCGCACGTTGGATTCCAAAGGCACATGGGACACTCACATACTAATTGCAGAACACTCCTTAAAGTAGTATCATTAAAGTAGCTATGTCTTTTTCTGGGATCATGCTCTACTTAAAGAGGCAGCTATTTTAAGGATTTGATCACACATGATATTTGACTTTCTAAATGTGCTTCAAAATATCCTTTCTCTCTTTGAATCCAAAATACTGTACAGTCCTAATTAGTAAATTCCTAGCATTTTTTAAATGAAGCCAATATTTTCCCATGCATAGTACCAGCTATACATAATATATTAAGTAATTGCTAAGCACAAAACCTATGGTTAAGTTTTCCCAAACATCATATCCTATCAAAACAGCATTCCATAAAAAGGAGATAATTAAATAATGTTACAAGTTGTTGAACATGCTAGCCTAAACATCTTTACAGCAAAAAAAGGTTTTACCTATGATATGGACATTATGTATAATCTTCAACTGTTACCTGGATTGGTCTTTGCTGGTTTGTTGCCTCACCTCTGAAATCCTCAATTATATCCAAGGAATCTATAAATATGGATGCCCAGAAAATCCTTTTTGCTGCCTTTTTGAGAAAAAGTCTGAAGATCTTCTTTCTCCATTAATATAACTGAAAATATTATTGTGAGTGGTAATGTGGCATGTTCCTTTAGAGAAATTTCATTAAATCAAATTTGTTCTGCATGAAATCTTATGCCATCTTTAACTCTTGCCCAGAAAATTGATACTATCTTTTTAAAAATTGTCATTAACTAATTGTCAATTCAAACATTATTTTGTACTTGTAGGATTCCACAAATGTATATAACATGTTACCTTCTTTATGAATTTTGCAGGAAACATATAATCTATTCCTAACAATACTAATTTAGAACCAAGTCCCACTGATTTCTGCAGAAACACTGCCAAATTCAAGTGGCTTAAGGTTGCAATCTCAAATTAAAATTCTTTACTTAGATCTTTTCATTGAAAGCAATAGGGCCGTGATGATGAACCTATGGCACCCATGCCGGAAGTGGCACAGAGACCCATCTCTCTGGGCATGCGAGCCGCTTCCCACTGCTCTTTCAGGTTCTCAGGTGCCAGCCAGCTGGTCTTCACATGCGAGGAAGTGCTGGAAATCAGAAGAGCAGCCAACCGGTGCACATGCACGCACCAGGAAGATGATCTTCCAGTTTCCGGTGCACACATGCACACTGGTCAGCTGATCTTTATGTGCACATGCATGCCAGAAACCAGAAGACCAATTGGCCAGTGCACATGCACGTGCTGGAAACGGGAAGATCATCTTCCCGGCGCGTGCATGCGCACTTGGTGGCTGTTCTTCTGGCTTCCGGTGCACACATATGCGCACACATATATTCCCATTTTGGCACTTGGTGCTGAAAAGGTTTGCTAACACTGCAATAGGGCATATATTATCAGTTGTATTACTTGGATGCTTGAACAAAAACTCTTGGTGCAAAGGACTTTGCAATAGCACAGCAAGGTGGAGTTCCTGAGCTAAATGGCATAAATTTAATGTCCAGTTTACATTAAATAACCCAGTGCTTTCTGAGATTATTTTTTAAAAAACTAGGACACAATTCTTGCAGAATTTCCTGGAACAAGCAAATACTTTACAACTAATTATTCCATTTTAGAATTGATGAAAATCATTCAAGGTGACAGTAACAACTGTCCAGCACTTGCATTAATTTCATACAGTGGGGGTGTAGGACTAGCATAGTATGAGTTGTTTCTGTTAAACACCATATGGTTATTGTAATTTGAAGAAGCCCAAATATAGAAAAAAATTAATTGAGGATTTGGGTAGTCCTCCACAATCATAGATGATGAAAAATAACCAAATGGCAGTTTATCTCTAATTATTGAGATATCAAATGAGAAGAGAATGTGACTTCTTGAATCCTGAGGTTTATTTTGTCCTATAAAATGGAGGGGAAAGTTTCTATGAAGCATCACCTTAATTATAAAATATGTCAACCATACAGTACTGCAAAATCTCTGCAATGAAAAATATGTACTAGAAGTGTTCGGTACAAACACTATTATTTGAACTGGATGAAAAATGGTGTGTCAATCTTTTTTTTTCTTAGATTTCTATCTTAATTTAACAATTCACTCTCTAAACCTGGATTGTCCATATTGGGGAACTGAAATTGTGAGTTAAGGTATGACATTGTTGTCATTTTTCAATCAACCATCTCAGACATAACTCACTTGGAATATATTAATTGTGAAATGCAATTTCTGATTTAAGATTTGTTAAGTGGAACAGCTAAAAATAAGAAAACAATTAGCTATTGAAAATGAAAGATAAAATATGACATTACTTGTGACCAGAAAAAAATTCCAAGAATTCAATTATGCCAAGGATACATATGGTTCTATGAGTAAGTGAAATTAATATATTTTTCACATATTCTTCTCATATGAATCCTTCATTAAATCAATGAAGCAAATAAAAAATAAAACCCATTTTGGTCCTGATTTCTTTTCCTTCAAACAATATAAATCCAGCTCTGTAACACACATTCATTTTGATAAAAGGTTATACAACTGATCATTTTCTTTCCTTTAAAACCTGGGATAGATAATGAATGTCCCGACGACAAATTAAAAATAAAACTTTGCCAACTTTCATCCTTATGGCTTTGACATCATGTGCCATCATTTTCCCAAAGCACCATTTCCTAGTGTAATGAACTTTGGAAATAACAGTAAAAGCAGAAATTGATTAAAGAAGGAAGTGATATCATGCTTCTGAGATATGAACAGCTTCTGCTTTGAAAAAATAGACGAGAATCAAAGTCAATGGTTAGCTGCTGGCCCTCTCTGCACAGCACAGCATAGAAAAAACAATCCAAGCATAATCTTCCTTAGTAGCAGCATGTGCTGCACTATAACTATTTGTAAAATATGGCAGCCATTGATATGATTAGGAAAACTGGGGAAAAAAATCCTATGTGAGGCTCTCTTGCCTATCAAAGTAGTTCTAATATTGAAATGATTTCTCCTTATTCTACTCTTGTTTCCAAGTATTCATTTAGTTCACTTAACATAACATGAAACTCTGCTTATTTCACATTATTTTCTCCTTTGATCCTTGTAACATTCAACTAGGAAGAAAGGACAGTCAAAAAACAACTGAGAGCCAAGGAAAGGTAGACATGAAATCCAGCCTTTCTTGCTGGCTACACATATTAAATGTTCACAGGAGCATTTTGTTAGATACCAAGGAAAGAAGATATATTTAGCCCTCGAATTTCAGGTGGAAGAAGGCTGTACCCATGGTTAACCACATTCAAAATTAGCTACATATTTAAAGAAGGGAACCACTTCCTCCCACCTTCCTTATCCTAGTTAAGTTTTATGAAGATCCTCTTCCTAGGTCATACCCTTCTGCCATGCAACTTTAAGTGCTGCGATAGGTTTTGATTATGTCCTTGATGGCACGTCTACAGATAGGACAACAGGCATTAGCCATCTTCTTGAGTTTGAGCCCACATGTATAACACAGACACATATGTCCACAAGAGTAAATCACAGTGTCCACCATATTCTCATAACAGATAGTACACTCATCATTCCAAGATCCTGAGATGGAAGAGGAAAGGGGGGATTCTGGCATGCTAATTGGAGAGTTTGGAGCCGTACCTGCAAAATAAGAGACACTTTTACTTTTTAGTTTTTAAACTCTAATCAGCTTTACAGCTGCCCTAGTTTAGAATTTCTATGCCAAATGTTAAAATATGAAGATTATGTCCATGTTTTCACAAAACTTCCAAAAAGCATCCTCTAATGAGCAACAATAGACAAATACTAAACTAGGTAGAACATTTGAATAAAAAGAAGTGTTAAATTCTATTTCTCTATGTTTGTTGTGTGTGTGTTATTTCCAAAATACTACAGAAGTACATTACTATCTCTTGGATGACTTATATCATTACTGAAACAACATATAGTCTTCGAAATCTACTGTTTTTATAATTTTGTATGCCATGTTTTTCTACAATGACTTTTCCAGTCAGATTTACTATACTCTGGATTATGGTATATGAAAAGTACTTGAGTGCCTACCATATGTTATTCTTACTATCAAAATACATAATGAAATTACAATTTTTCCTCTCCTTTGCTATCAATTTATTATTAACAGAAATATTTAGAGATTGGTGCAGCGGCCTAGCAATGTTCCCTCTAATTTTTTTTCAGTGTGAGCAGAAAAGTATAATGTTTGAGCGGCACATTTTCATGCCTGAGC